CTCACACTTTGGGTTGGATCTAGACTTGTTCCTGCTAGTAGAAGCAGTCCTTGTGTGGAGTTCCACTTGGGAAACGTCCTGACAGCAGGGAGAGCAATACTTTTGCTGATTCTACCCATCCCTGAAGCCCCAGTACCACCTCCCACTGTTCCAAAGGCTTGGGGACACTTCACAACAGTGATGCTAAGGACTGCAGGGATTAGAGGGAAGTGGCAAAAGGTGTGCATACTGAAAGGGTCAGAATCCAACCAGTGGGAACTGCATAGACACACAGCCAATCCCCACCCCGTGGCTCTGTCATAGTTGTGCCATTTGTGTACATGCATAGCTAGAGGTCCTCTGTCTATCCCAGAAAATTGTATGCCAAGGACTATCTGATCTCCTGTCGCAGTTTAAAAAGTATAGAATTAAGATTTCTTTTCTGTGCTCAGTGTTCTTATAGTCATTCTAAAGTGTTTATTCCACTATATAAAGCAACAGAATATATCTTTCAATTGTTTCTGAGACAACTGATAGTTATACATAATAGGTTTATGATTTTTTTGTTTGTTTGCACATAATACAATGCTTTCCAGGTAGTCCAATAAATGTGATCTGAAATTATGAAAACATAATTTCAGGGTATTGCAACAAGAGTTTGATTGGTATAAATTAGTGCAGGTAAATACTAGTGCCTTGAGTGAAAACCCAATCAACTCTTAAGTGTTATTGCTTAGCAAGTCAATGTATCATTGCTAACCTACCACACACTGAGTGTATCCATGGGACATTAAGCAAGCCAAGTAAAACAAGGCAATCTAAAATGTATCATTCAGTAGCTCAATATCATTGCTGTCCATATTGGTTCTATGCAGTGTAGCATGAAGGCACAAGTTCTGAGGGCTGTGCACATTCTTTCCTTGGATTATGCTGTCCATTTCATTGCTAAACATTAAGACCTACTTGGTAAGGGCAAAAAACTGAAGCTAAAAGCTCATTATAAATCCTTTTATATTAAATTTACCGGTCTACAGAGTACAGTGATAAGCTTTCTGACCTCAATCCCTCTGGATGTGACTTCACAAATGAATGCAACTAATGTGCTTTTTGCTTTATGGAATGTGATTCAGGCTAATCCCACAAAAAATGTGATGGGGTGAAGGTGAGGTCATGGACTACAGGAAATAAAGACATGTGGTTATAGAATACATGTGTGTGCAAAAATCAGAGCAGTAATTTAATATTAGCCTGAGAACAAAATACTGTAGGAGCAATCTAACTGGATAAAAAGTAAAAGTGGATAAACAAAGTCAAGTGGAATTCAACAAAATTGTGAACATATGTAATAGTGATTGTTTCACTATATGGAGAGAAATAACTAATAATGAGAACAAGTAGAACCACTGCGTACTAAAGATGGAGGGCAAATCAAAGGTGGTTCATCTGCCATAGCAAATGCCCTGCCGCCATCCAAGCCCTGTTGTCAGCAGGGCAGAAGGCAGGAGCACTCTTGCAATTTTACAGGGTAGTCCTCCCCCCACATCATATGTGAAGTAGTCCCCTCCCATTGTTTCAAATAAGAGTGAAATAAAGGGGCTTGAACTGTGTCAGGATGGGCATAATTCAATATCCAGTTTGGCATGTGAGTGCTTAGAATCATAGAATCATAGAATCATAGAATCATAGAATTGGAAGAGACCACAAGGGCCATCGAGTCCAACCCCCTGCCAAGCAGGAAACACCATCAGAGCACTCCTGACATATGGTTGTCAAGCCTCTGCTTAAAGACCTCCAAAGAAGGAGACTCCACCACACTCCTTGGCAGCAAATTCCACTGTTGAACAGCTCTTACTGTCAGGAAGTTCTGAGAACAAAATATTATCAGACAACTGTAAAAGCATCCAATCCTTTGCAGTCAAATTTTATTTGGGTGTCTCCAGGCACATCCCAAACCTGCCCCACTTTCAGCCCTACGAAAGGGTCATGAAAGTTGCTTTGGCAGTAGGAAGAGGGAACCCAACACTGAATCTCCATCACCAAGGCTAGAGCTCTCTTTCCCATATTCAGAGCCAGATAAACCTCCTATGATCAGAACAGAACCTTTTGTAGCCAACAAGTACCTAGCAAGTGGCCCATGAGAGTCCTGTGGGTAGTTGGACAGGCCAGATCCAGCTAATGGCTAGCCTTACTTTAGGTCTAGGAATATCAGCCACACATGGTGTAACATAGTCTCTTGTTGATAATAACTGATTCCTTTTCACATTGGTTTTGAAAATTTTGTCATATCTTACTTGTTTAAAAACAAATGTTATTTGTACGCATGTAACATTAATTCCAACCAGCATTTAAGTTCGGTTAAGCAGAGTTCTGCTGTTTATCTTTTTCCCTTTCCTGCATCCTTTGTTGTAATTCATATAACAAGCTAAATGCATAAATACACTGAAGAATATATGTCAGAATGATTAATAAATAATATGCCAACACAAAACAACGTGGCTTGGACTCAATGAACCCTGCAGTGTGGCATTTATAATATACTCATATTATAATTAAATAGATAGTACTGTATTTCCAGACAATGCAGAATCAAACAGGCATTCAAAAACTGGCAATATATAGGCAATCAGACACTGCCATATGAAATCCAAGGAAACCTATCATTGACCAGCACCAGACTACTATACTCAATTGTTTTAATTAAACATCAGCAGTGATGTGACAAATAAACTGCGATGAAAGAACTAAATGTTAAGAGCTTTTCTTTCCTATAGCTAACACGATTCATGGAATTCAACATCCTTTCTGGTCAGAAGGTCTTAGAAGACCAAATCTGAATGATATCTGAAGAACTAAAAAGGCAAACTCAAGAAAGATATACCGTAATCTGTAAAGCTAAATAGCAGTACAGGATTCAGTAAGCATTAACTAGCTAGGCTCCCCCGATAACACTAATTTATAGAGAGAAGCAGATCAGTATAATCACTCCATGAAGAGCACTTACCACAGTAATCAAACACTCTCACAGCAGCAATGAACGAGAAACTTCCACTTACCTGAAAAAGAAAAAGAAAAACCTGTTTTAAACTAGCTCCTCAGAAGCACTATTTCAAAAAGAGGAAAAGGTACTTAGCTTATTTTAGCTTTGCATGATATTTTCATAACAGCAGTATGAGATACCATTCTAAGCTACATTTATTTTTCATCTAAAGAGTAAAACAAAACACAGTCAGTCATAACTGCTACAATTGCTCCACAACTGGTTTAATATTTCTTCAGCTTTTATTTGTTTGTTTATATTTCATTAAAAGGTAGGCTTGTCCAAACAAGAATGTTTTTAGTAGGCACCCAAAAGAGTATGGTGAAGGCACCCACTTGATCTCAATAGGCAGGGAGTTCCAAAGTGCAGAACTGCCACACTAAACGACTGAGTTCTTACAAATGTGGAATGGGTATTATGTGGCATGTGTAGTAGTGCCAATTCCTCTGATCAAAGCAGTCGAGTGGGCACAGGTGGGGTAAGGCAATCTCATATGATCAAGTCCTACACACACACTCCATTGCCCAATTCCACTATCCTTGTAGAAACAACAGTCTTATTCATGCATTCACTATCTGGATTAAATAAACACACGAGGCGAGAGTGGGTATAAGGATGCTAGCTGTGCCCCTTACCCTGCTGCTTTGCACAGTTTCAAGGGTGACTGTCTCCTGTACTTGTGGTGGCTTCTGCATGATGCAGAACACTGGAAAATTAGGGTTCTATATCACATGGGGCCCTTCAGGAGTACAGGAGGGTTCTCCACCGCACACTTTCACTTTTGAATTCATAGAAAGTGTCGTGGATGCAGGTGGAAGTATCAGACTCATGTCCATTCTCCTCCTCTCACATGTTTGGTTAACCAAGGTAGAGAATGCTTGAATAAGGCTAATGACACACAGGAAGGAGTTAAGAAACAGAACGTTGGAACCGATAGTTAAGGAGACTACTTCTCAAACAATAACGACTAGTTCAAGTCAAAAAGCTCAACCCCCTTTTAGCACAGGAAACATCAGGTTTTGCTTTAAAAAATAGGGCATCATAAGGTGAAACGGCATTTTCCCCCAGAGGGTTGAAAGTGGTACAGTAGAAGCAGCATTGTCTGTAGTGAGCACACCAACATCCAAGCCTTGTCTCGGGTCAGATGGTTTTGCAGCTGTTTAAAAATTCTGCATACCCTGTTTGAACAGAGGCCACAGCAGGACAAACAGGCTACAGCAGGACAAGTGAGTGTGCAATTATGGAAAACTGTAGCTCTCTCAAAACACTTTCAACTCTGGTAAAAATGACTCTCTCTAGCCACAATAGGAATTTTGAATATCTGTGGGTAGGTGCACTGAATGTATCAGAGGGAGCTGTCCACAGAGTCCTTATTACTAGGAGTGTTGAAATGGGTTCACAGTTCTGAAAGCCTTTCAGGCAGGGCCACAAGACAGAAACACTTTGCTACTTCAGACTCCTGGCTTATGATCTGTGGTAAGAGAAACCTGAAGTATAAGTCTAATAAAGTGACACAGGTGTATCTTTTGAGCACATAAAATGGCAGGAGGGAATACTGTAATGAGGAAGGCCAGGGAAGAGAGATATTTAGCATTATAATTACCATTCTCTGTTCTATTCAAAATATTCTTGGGACTAAAGTCCACAGGAGAACTGAGGCATCCAAGTGAAATTACAGATAAGGCAGTATAATTGATATCTTCTTAACTACTTATATTCTCACGCTGCATTGTGGCGCAGCTGTATTTCACAGTCTGGGTATGACTTTCTGACTAAAATGGGTAGAAACACACAGCATCATATAGCTATATCTGTAACATATGAAGAAGAAGGGAAGGGATGTCTTCACGCTAAAGGTGGATGCCTGATATGTATAACACAGTTGTTGTAGCTCTTGCCCTCTTGTTCATTACTTCATCACCATAGTGAATTACGCCTCTGTGAACGTGAAGGGTTTGAGCTTTTTTTTTATTCTTCTGAAATTCTAATCTGAAAAGCTGTTCTAACTAAATTCCATGCCTAACCCTGCAATGCCTGCAGAGTAGATTACATATGAACATTACAAAGGCAGAACATTCCTCATATTTGGGTTTTTTTTAAAAAAAATCAGTGCTGATTTGTGCTAGTAACGAAGTGGCATCACTGCTACTGTGGTGAGGCCCACTATTCCCCCCTAAAATAATATAATGAACAAAATTCCAGCTAATATTATAGAAAACAAAAATCCAACCTAGTGCATGTGCATGCGCCGTCTTAGTTAAGGGGAATGTAAGTTGAGTAGTTAATGTGTATAGCAACCAGTCATTGTGTGCATTCACCAGGCCTCATAGAGAATGCACACATAAAGAGGGCATTGTGCACATTTTCTGCTCAAAATAGACAATCTCCCAACAGGTCTTGGGGAATGTGCATATATTGGCTAATTTTTCTACATTCTCCCTAAGCTTTTTGTACATTGTTCCTAGGCTTAATGGCAGGATGGGGTGTGTGTGTGATTTCTATCAGAATTGTGGGAGGGGAGGGAAAGTTGAAACATACACATTCCCCAAGGCCTGTTGCAGATTATGTACATATACTGAGAAATGTCCACAATTCTTTCTTCATGGATTATGTGCACATTCTTCATGGGGCCTGGTGAATGTGCACAATGGCTGGTTGTTCTACACATTAACCACACAAGTTACATTCTCCTTAACATACCACACACATGCATGAATTTTTGTTTGTATCTATATCTATCAATATAAAATAATGTATGTTTAATATTACATCTGTGTAATGGAATCCTCCAGAAAACGGATATATAAAAAACCAGTTTTCTGGAGGATTCTATTACAGTGGTGTAATAAACATGGCTATTAAAAAGTAACTCTAAACAAAATTCCATCTTTTATCAATGCTTAGCGGAGACACCTGTGAGGGTATGGTACAATACTGAATGGAGACAATAAGATTCTCTAATCATCACTTGATGAACAGAAAACCTTCCTGCCACAGCTTGCTGACCAGAGATTAGTAACAGCCATTGACTGAAGTCACAAGCGGCCTTGCTCATATGTAATGAAATAATCAATATAGAAGTATGTTTGCTGGGTAAGTACATGGAGCTTAACTAAGAGTCAGAAGTTCAAATGAAAGTGCACAGCTTCCAATATGTATAGTTCTTTGGTGTGGGTGTACAAAATAAATCCTAAGATTCAGATCTGGTTTACACATTCTATAGGGGCACACCTTTACAGACAGGAAGTGAGTGAGTGAGTTATTTAGCTACCTATAGGATTTTTATACTGCCCTTCATCAATAATTCCAGGGCTTTTTACAACATACTCAAACAATAAAATACAATAAGCAGTTGAACAATCAAAACAGAAATAAAACAGCAATTAAAACAGCAGCAAATCATCAACTGGAGTGAGTTGTCTCTGCATGTGATATCAGCCTTGACAAATTTCATGGTACAATTTCCAGCACTCACAGAAACAGCCATGAATGATTATCTAACACATTTCATTGTTCCCATGGAAACAGATGTGGGAGTGATTCCATGTTATTCTCTTTATAGGAGCACATGGGACACACACACACACACACAGAGAGATACTAAGGTCCAATTCTGTTTTCTCAGCAACATCAGCTACAGTTTGAACAACAACAACAACAAAATACACCTGTAGTTTGTTAAGTTTTACTAATGTAAGTGAGCCCTGGTCTAGGAGCTTCTTCTGCATGCAGTTAGGTGCCTTGGCTTCAAATATTCTATTTGCCAACTATCTTTCCAAACAAAAGAATACATTATATGAGAATTTTACAAAGACTCTTCCTTAGAAATAATAAAAAGAGGAATGGAAATCTATTTGCTTCTGTAAAATGTAGTTTAATGTTGCTCAGAAGTCCCTTCCTTTGTGTTCTCAAATCTGATGATAAACTCAGATAACTTTAAGAAATAAACAATGCAAAAGGCATTAAAAATTTGACCAAAGTTGTCTGTCATTAGCAAGTGATGTTACCATTCATCACTTACAATGTTTTATGTCCAGCTTACATGATAGAATATATTTGAATCATGGAATTTTCTCTTTTAAATGGATAAAGTTTCTGTATTTAGATAATAATTTTGTTTTGCCAGTTGAATGGAATCAAAGGATTCTCCACAGCATATTTAGTCTATTAGAAGAAGAAACATTTTTGTGTCAAAAAGCTTTTTACTCTAACATAAAATAGATGTGCTTATTTAGTATATACTTTCTAAAGTGCTTTAAATCTCTCTTCTTCTTTTTGGTCTAGTAACCAAAAAACCCAAACAAACCCCAATTATTTTGAATCATAAAAGAATTTCAGTTTTAAGACAGAATGATACATCTCATGCGGCAGTTATATGAATCTGTTTCTTTTCCTCATTACAGAAGAGGGAGAAAGATGAATTCAAACTGTCACCACGTGCTCTGCCATGATTAGAGTTTCACTGGGCCTCCACAGTGCCCTTAACAGGCCAGGGTCAAGTCATTTCCAGCAGATGCAGTTAACCACTCTTCCACAGGGAACTTTTAGGCATGAAATTACCAGATCAATGTAGGCACACAGTACAATATATTTTTAACTTGCAAAGTATGTTTGGTGGGTCCATCTGTCTTAGTTTCCTACTTGACTTTTCCCACCCAGCTCTATTTCGGAAGACCAACAGCATCCTTCAGCAGCCATTTTATAGACATTACTTTGTCTCCAGTCATTACATTACTTTGATCAAGTAAAATAATGGGTGGTGGTTTACTTAGATGTATTTGTTTCCATGATGCTTTCAGATTTCTTTTCAAAGCATCATAAATAAAGGCTACAAACAATTAGGCCCTAATCAACAAAAGCTATTAGATATTATTTTAACACTGAGTGTTCTTTTCTATATTGATTCAGTATTTTGTCTTATAAACTCTTCAGAGAGTTCACCATTTCCAGCAGCTAGGATAGCCTGTTCCTACTTCCCTGCTATGATTTACCCCTCAGATTGTTAGCAAACTACTGCAGTCTTGCAACTGCTTAGTGTGGAAGGGATGATAGTTGAAAGCACATGCTTTGCATGGAAAGTCCCAGGTTCAGTCCCTAGTATCTTAAGTTTTAAAAGGGTCAGGTTGCAGGAGAAGGTGATGTGAAAGTCTGAAGAGGTGAACCGAACTCATAAAAGCACAATGGAATAAAGGCAGAACTGTTGCAGGCTGTAAGAACACAAGTCTCTTTCTGTTCATTGTCCTGGGGGAGTCCTAAACCACTGAAGGAAGCAATTCCCTTCAGGAAGTATTAGAATTTGTTTATGAAACATCTGAGAAGATCCTTGAATTACTGCACAATGCTGATGAAGGGAGGGAAGCCCAATGAGCAGCAGTACACCAGAATGTTCATATACAAGGAAGCTATTCTACAAGCAAGAATTAATTTTTTGGTTTCTTAATTACAGCACAATACTATATCTACTTAGAAGCAAGTCCTTTTACTTCAGTGGGGCTTACTCCCAAGTAAGTGAGGTTAGGACTAAAGCCTTAGCCATCCATTTTTGCTCAAGGGTATCAAAGATTATATATTTTCATCACTCAGACTGGCATTCCGAGGAAAGATTTGTGGGCTTTCTCTTTTAATCTTAAAACCATTCAATATATGGCAAGTTCAGTTTTTCGTATTCCCATCCTAACCATTTTTAAAACAGGTTGCACCCTAAGCAGTTTTAAAACATCCTATTTCTTTACAAAGATTACCAAATCTATTTCTCTCCTGAAACTGACACAATGCCTGGCTGCCTGTCAAATATTCCTGCCTTCCTAAGCTGTTTGGGCTTTTCTCTCAGCTAAAATAACAAGAAACGGAGGTGCAGAGTTTCTGCAAGGCTAACAGAAGGTCTGACATAGGTGTGCATGCCTTGCTATTAACTCTTTTGAAACTATGAACCTTAGTACAGCAGGTTAAGGGGACACAGTCTCTCCTAATAAAAAGGCTTAAATAAATCCACACTAGGGATTAGTTTGCTTTATGGACATAGCAGAGAAAATGTCACACACTATCAAATGCTCTGTTCTGTAAAGCCAACTAACATTAATTAAACTGCTGTCCCACAAACTCAGGTTTTGCTTTGAAACTTGGCAATTGTAACAAAATTATCTACTTTATGGTGTCCATTCTTTTAAATATTCCCAATATGAAATGAATCCACACACTTGACAACATCACCATATTCATGGGTTGCAAAGTTGGAACATTTCAGTGAAGGAGACCACACACATGGGGCAGTGTTTGCTGCACAGTACTTGCATATATTTCCTCCCCTGCTTCCCATTGCCATTTATGCAATGCATCTTATGCAGAATACACCAAAGTAAAGGTAGGAAGAACCACTTTCTGATCCTGACTTTTCCCTTTGTGAGGATGGAATGTGGAAGCAGGAAGCAGCAGGAGGTATTTATTAATTAGCCAGGATTAATTAGCAGGCAGGGACATGGGTGGCGCTGTGGTCTAAACCACAGAGCCTAGGGCTTGCCAATCAGAAGTCGGCGGTTCGAATCCCCGTGACAGGGTGAGCTCCCGCTGTTCGGTCCCTGCTCCTGCCCACCTAGCAGTTCGAAAGCACGTCAAGTGAAAGTAGATAAATAGGTACCACTCTGGCGGGAAGGTAAACGGCATTTCCATGCACTGCTCTGGCTCGCCAGAAGCAGCTTAGTCATGCTGGCCACATGGCCCGGAAGCTGTACGCCGGCTCCCTCGGCCTATAGAGCGAGATGAGCACTGCAACCCCAGAGTCGTCCGCGACTGGACCTAATGGTCAGGGGTACCTTTACCTTTACCTTTAATTAGCAGGCAGCAGAAAACAGTGAATGCAGGAGGCAAATATTCAGTCTTTAATCCTGGTACCAAGACAAAAATATTATCAAAAGAACTTTCCGTTCAAATGCCCTGGTTAACACAACACCAACTACATGCCCTCTTAAACAACCCAACAGTAAAATTAGCAGCAACTAGGCCCCTGACAACCTTTGAAAACCTCCTCCTAACAACAAAGGGAAATGGTAAAGGGACGGTATCTGCAATATACAAAATACTACTCCAAAATCCCACAAACCCCCTAGACGCAATCAAAAAACAATGGGAGAATGACATAGACTATGAGATTAACCCCACTCAATGGACCAGAATGTGGTCTAAACCCCCCTTTAAATCCATATCAACGAAAAGAAAAGAACTCACACTGAAACTCACCTACAGGTGGTACCTAACACCAAGGAAACTAGCGCTAATACGTCTAGGAACCTCACCAAAATGCTGGAGAGGGTGCACCTCCACAGGCACATACCTCCACATGTGGTGGGAGTGTCCCAAAATCCAGCTATTCTGGACAACAGCCATACGAGAAATATGTAAAATAACTAAGCAAGTATTAGATATCACCCCAGAATTGGCCCTACTAAACATCTTCCACGACAACAAAGCTCATTTACACCACAAGGAATTCATAACCCACCTACTTTCAGCAGCCAGAAACACCATAACGAGACACTGGAGACACCTGTCAGGAGTAAGCATGGACCAATGGTACCAAATAGTATGGGAAACAGCCCTACTAGAAAAATTAACTAATAAACTGAAACTGACACGGGGACAAACAGAAGAAGACGCCTTCACCCCGGTATGGCTCCCCTTTATCACATACACAGCCCAACAAGACAATGACAATAATCCACCAACAGCATACAAATCAATATGGCTAACCTGATCCAAAACACCCACCCACGTCACTCACACACGAAAACAAAGATCACCACAGCCAATCACAAACAAACAATCACACCCTAGGCCAACCCCAACCTCTCTCACCACCAAAGGAACACAAGTGAACAACACAAGCAACGCTGACACCAAACTCTACATACATTAAGCATAATAGAAACATCGCCACCCGACCCCACCCCCATCCATCTTCCCTCCCTCCACCCCCCTTTCTTTTTTCTTTCTTTTTTTCTTCTTCTCCCCCTAATGCCTCAACAAATGAAACGGATTTGTAAAAATGTTACATGGAAAAAAAATACACGAGGCATTACACTTCTGTAAAACAAGAAAATCCTTAATAATATATATATATATATAAAAGAACTTTCCTTTAAGGTCTATTTTTAAAATAAAGAGCTTTCTTATTTACTGTAAATGTATATGAACATAAATCTCCATACACTTTCCCTTTCTCTCACTCACTGACCTTTACATTAAATTACCCTTAATAGTAAATTAAATTATTATTGTGTGGGGTGGCGGAAGATGTCTTTATGTTAAACTCCATGCCCCATTGCACTGGAATGGATTTAGAGGAATCTATCCTTGACTAATAAATTACCCTGTTAATTTTAAACAAAACACTACAATAGAGTACTATGAGAACCCAAGATTGCAGAATACAATATTGCCTAATTAAGTCTGTATTGAGTATCACCGGCTCTGCCACGAACCCTGCCCATAATGTATTATTATTATTTTGGCAAGACATTACTGAACTTATATTTAAAGGCAGATTCTGATCCAAAGTTGCTTGATCTTACACTGCCAGTTAGGTAAAATATCTGCCTATCTCCATTTTAACATCCTTTTAGGCAGCAATCTTATGCACATTTACTAGGGAGTGTAACTTAATAAAATGGCATTCCATTTAGACAAGTCTAGGACTGCACAGGGTTAGTTTCTTTATTGGCACATGATCAATTTGCATATTGGCTTTAGAGTTCCACTTATTCATTAAACATTATTCCTCATAAAGTTCATTATGAAGCGGCCACACTTGTAACTTGTGTTCCCTGGCAGAATAGCATGCTTGTGTGTTTTTCAAAGAAGTGACTGTGAAAAGATTGCCAATGGGAGGGGTAAGGATTCACATATGCCAGCCTTTTTTCAACCAGATCTTTTGGAGTCTAACTCCCATCAGTCCAAGCAAACACATCTGTGATGCCTGGAGCTGGATGAGAGTTGAACTCCAATATATCTGAATGTTACCAGGTTGGAGACTATGATATTATAATGGGTACTTGTCTTCTGTAGTTCTTTCCTGCAACCACTGGAGAAAGGCAGGGATTCTCCCCTAGTGTGTTGGGACTTGTTAGCAGATCCGGTTCCTCCCTCTTAGGGAGCTGGTGGTCATGGCAAGAGCAAATTTTGGTTGTCTTCCAAAACAAGAAGGGGCACTGTCACTTTACTGAAAAGAAAAGAAAAATCAGCCTCTAATAAGAAAGGGAAACCAGAAAGATTGAAGCTAGGGAACTACTGGTAATCTATTCCCTTCCCCCAGGGAAAAGAGCTAGGGCTATAAGCAGCATTTTTATTCTCAGGATTTTCTGGTGAGAACAGTGGCAGCAGACACCAGAAGTTAGTTGTTTGCACCTCCCCAGCAGTCAGCAGCCCATTTGTCCAATAGGTAGCCCTGGAAGTGGTTGTGATCTAAAAGCACTGAGCAACTCAGAATCAATGTCCTGTTAAATGCTGATTGGTGCTGCCTGCAAACTCCTTTTTGGCCCACCCACAACTTCAACTGCACCACATTTGGGACAGGTGGGTGGTGGCTTGCCAAAATGCCCTGAAGGTTCAGAGGAAGTTTAGCTGGCCTAGTTAGATCAACACCTGGAGTCTTCCCATTCCAGCCTTAGAGTGACCCAAGATAGAACTGGCAAGCATGTATCTGGAGAAAAAGAAGGAAGGAAAAGGAGACAAGTAGCTGAAGAGGACAGATGAAATAGAAGATGAGTGTCTAACCTTTGATATTTCTTTAGAAATATTCCCCTATTTTTTTAAAAAAAAAAATTTACAGCCATAAAGACTAGACATTAGTTTTCCAAGAGGAAAAGCTGAGAATACAAAGTGCTGAATACAAGACAATGAATATATTAGATATAAAAATTGGTACTTGCATGGCATACAGCTAGATGATTATATTATCCCTCTCTTTTCACCACTGATGCCAACTTTGCTTTATCAGCCATACCATTATCTAGTACCAAGGAGAAGAAGCAGGGAAATTGCCAAGCATTGTGCTTCCTTTTCAGTTTTCTCCTTCCTTCCCACCATTCTCTTGCAGCACAGTTGGGAGAAAAAGGCTGAAGAGGTACCTTTGGATCAAGAGAATTCTCTGACCCAAGGCTGGATGAATTGAAACTTTTGCAGAGAATGTGGGAAATAACGGACAGTATGACAATGTCCGTTGATCAAAGCTCCCTTCAGTGTTCTCAAGGGTCCGAACACCATATTTGCCTTAACTGGAATGGGAGATTACAATCTCTTATTGATTTTTCAAGACTGCGAGCACTTCACAGAAAGGACAGCCTTTTAAATTTGCTTCCATGCTTTACTTTGGAGCACTTAATTGTGTAAAACAGATACAGCAGATAGAGCCATATTTGTCAGTGGGATTTAAGACACACACATCTCAATAACATCATTGTGCCATCAGTTTTTCTGTATTTATAGATTTCCTGAAAAATATAACATTAAAAATTCCCTGGATTAGACAGTGTCACTAAATTATGTCCACTGACCACTTTTCTTGGACTTTAAATGAATCTAGACAGAGGAATTAAAAGTCCACCTTTAAGGAAAAAATCACTGTGTGGGTCATGCGAAACTCCAGAAAGAGCAACAAAAAGCACTCATTTCAGGAGGCTTGCCTTAAGGAAAGTTTAAAAATAATAGGCACAATCTGGCCAGTTATCCGTTTCTAAGCCCCTTTGATTTGCCAAGGCAACAGGCTTAAATTCTACTCTCTAGCATTTAGACTAGGCAATAAATCCTACTGCTTACTTCTGAGTAAAATCACAAAGGATTGTGCAATTAACCATGAATCTAACTCTGATTAGAATCAGAACTGAAGGCTTTAATCTTGGCTGAATCATGCAATCGAATTTATATTTATATATTTCATATGGGATAGAGAAACAATATTATTCTTAACATGCAGTAATTTTCTGTGAAATATGTATAATTACTGCATAAATTTAGATAAGATGTCTTCTCAAAAGGATTATTACCAGCAGTCATGCATAGTAACTAGCACCCCTGTAGCATAATAAAAGCCTGAACAAGTCAAACAATCATATCTTTTTTCATACCGTTCTGGGGTATTTTTTTTTTAGTTGGAAAGAAAGAATTAGTGATCCATAATGTCTGAGTCCTAGTTGATTTTTTTTTTTACTAATCATTATTGCTCTTCAAAAGAGATGAGGGATTATACAAATTGGGCAACCTCAACATGGAAGTGTTCATATCACATTCTATGTATGTGGTGAACAGTGAGAGTAGAGCAAATTTCCACTTTTCCATTCCTTAATTGTTCTGTGCACTTGCTCTGCCCTGTGTGCCACTCCTCCTGGTTTCCAGTTAAATTAGGAAAATTTCTAAATTTATTGGAGTACAGCCTGGAACTAGAGAGTGGGCAGTTTACCACAATTTCTGGTGCCTTTGATTGCTTCCTCTGCTTTATGGGTGTGGGGGGCAGTCTTGATGCACCGAAGATTTTTGTGCAGCATTTTACTGGTGCATAAAGGTACTTCTGTACATTGGTCAAACACCTGGCAAAAAGATCTTGATTCAACCATATGTACCATCACTTCAAGGGTGATTTGCTGCAGTGCTTAATCAACACACACAAGTAATACAAATGGGGAAGGGCAGAAATTAGTTGAAGGCTCTTACAAACAATGCATGCATACTGCTCTGTACAAAATTTGGAAATAAAAAGATGGAAAAATGAAATGAAAAGATGAAAAGTTTAGAAACACTGGAACTCCAAAACCTAGTGGAAATTTTGATTGAGGTTTACTGGGAAGAAATCATGCAAAGTAAACATCTGAGTTGTATACTCATGGGCTATTTCATACTTATTTCTTGGGTGATAAAATAAGGAACACATGCAAACATTAATGTTTGGAGATATTTTGTCTGCAATGGCCACCAGATGAAGTCAAAGCAAGACTTCAAAAAGTAGCATTTTGCTGACATATCTCTTTGGAGATTTTCATATTGAGGGTATTTTTGGACAAACGACTCTTTATGCAGAAAATTATATGATAAGCGGATTGTGCACAGTCTTTTACCACCTGAGAAATAAATGTACAAATTGACTTTGATGATGGCAGTTTCACACATTCTGGCTATCAAGTGATCATTGCAATCATCATATAAAAAGGTAACATGTGATCTCACCCTAAGTCTGAAAGCATTTTAGTTCAGATTATGGTTGCTATAAATAAAGACCAAATAAAGCTTTTCTCTAGACTTGCTTCTGTTCTGCTGCTTGTCAGGCAAGACAGCATATGTTCTGCAAATGATGTGGAAATAAAAGAACAATAAAATAAAAGGTTATAGTCCATTTGTTTAAAACTAAAGCTTCCCATTTGTAGTCAGCTTCATTCTGGGAAGGAGAAAAATGCTCAGAGCTGATTTTTTTTTAATGGACCAAGATAACAAATATTTTTGTATGATCTAAATCACTAACAGTTAATCACTTCATATTACTATCACTGTATTTTTCCTCAACCTCATTAAATACAATTTAAGACTTTAGAAATCAAACCCTGGGTGAACCTAAAAATATGTCTGCAGGATGAAGATGGATGATGACCTCAGTTGCTGCTCTATTAGTTTGTTTGCATGTTGGATGTTTTTGTGATTATAGTTACTTTGAGATTTAACAGTAGGAGGCTAATGGAAATGTTGTTTGCTGCCATGGCAGACTAAATCAGTGGGGGAAGAAAAAGAAATGTGTTTACACTTGAAGATGTCACATAAAGCAGCTGGAGGCTCCCACTTCCAGACCTGCACATTCC